TKKTYMWTWTCTTTCTWTCAGGCATTATTCACTTTACAGATTCATAGACCCTTGATATTCTGCTCTGTAAATGTCTTCTTCCTCAGTGACATACAGGGACAAGATATGYATTTAAATCTATCATTTAGACAGTTCTATAGCACCATCATATAAACATACATTTTCCTCTGGGTGGCTGAAGGAAATCTATAAACAGACACATCTGGTGGATAATAAATGCTGTGTTTGATTTAGTGAGCAAAAAACTGCGTTCAAAATATCTAGGAATTCACGTCTTACCATGACTGAGTATTACTGTCATTACAAATTCAGCCGCCATCTTTCTCTTATCCTTTCAGGCATTATAACTCAGGCATATCTGTTGGGGCTGCTGACATGTACCTTCAATTTAAAGAAGCCCAAAACAACACGGTGATATGGAAGACGCTGTACGACCAGGGGAGGCGCTGGAATCAGGTCACCGTTCAGCTGGGTCGCATCACTCAGCCCTTCCAGATCGCCTTCTCCAAAATCAGCCTCGGCGTGTTTGACGGCATTTCCGCTTTCGATGACGTCTCCTTCAGTAATTGTTCGATGCCGCCGGCGGTGTCCGAGTGTCCASCGGACACACATTTCCACTGCGTGCGCACCAAAGTGTGTGTGGAGCATCTGCAGCTGTGTGACCTCGTGGATGACTGTGGAGATGGATCAGATGAAGAAGGATGCTGTGAGTTTCTTCAGTTTTGCGTTGCGAATGATCAGGGCCCGTATTTATCAAACGTCTTAGAATTATTCTTAAGAATGCTGCTAAGAGTGGACTTAAGTGTAAAAAAATTCGTGGTTAAAAGCTGAGAGCAAAAGTCAGTTATCAAGCGTCTCAATCTCACTTTAAGCGAAGTGTAGGAGTAATTCTTAAGTGTCAGTCTTAGAGCTGATTTGCGACACCTGGCTGTGCCACAAAGCTGATCCTGGATGACGTCGTTAGAAAAMMCCCMGACWTGGACCAATCACTGCCTCGGATTTCATCTTCAAGAATATTGTCTCATTTGCATCATGGATAAAGACGAAGATTTTTTAAATCAAAAACTCAGCAGCTTTAATGTTATTTTATGTCTCAGAGCCTGAGGTAATGTTGAGCTGCTCCCTCCTCCTCCTCCTCTCCACTGTCCGCAGACAACACTGACTTTACACACATGCACACACAACCCCGCTCCGTCATTAACAGCTTGGTCCAAGAG